GAGGGAGAGTGAGTGAGAGTGAGTGTGTGTGTGTGTGTGTGTGTGTGTTGGGGTGCGGGTGGGAGAATAATAAGTGAATAAATCAGCTGGGTATGGTGGCACACGTCTGTAGTCCCAGCTACTTGGGAGGCTGAGGCAGGAGAATGGCTGGAGTCCAGGAGGTCGAGGCTGCAGTGAGCCATGACTCCACCACTGTGCTCCAGCCTAGGTGATGGGGCAACACCTTGTCTCAAAAAAAAAAAAAAAAAAAAAAAAGAAAAGGTTAGTTTTTAAGCAACCAAGAATTTTAAAAGATAAATAAGTGCTTTAGTGACATACGTAGCTTGTATTTTGACCTTTCTCACGCTGTGGTTTCCTATGATCCAGGCAACAGGGAAAAAAGCAAGCCTTACATCATCTTTCTAGGTTTGCACTATGGCTTTTAAAGTTAAGTAGATAAAAGATTTATTGCGTAAAAAAAAAAATCAAAACTCTACCTCAGTGTCTATGGTCCTACATAAGAAGTCCAGCTTTCAACAAAAATTATAAGGCAGACGAAAAAGCAGGAAGATACAGGCCAAGCCAAGAGGAAATACGACACAGTAACGCAAGTCAGACCTTGTTTCTTCAGCATCTGATAGGCATCTCGGATCTTGATGTCTTCCGGAAACCAGACTGTCCAACTAAAGAGTATTTCAATGACTCTTCCTTTAACTTTTTCTGTGGCCCAGGACCCCAGGTACTGAAAGTAAAAGGGAAAGAGAATTCTAGAGCTGGAAGAGACTTGGGAGACCGACACTTTAACTGAAGAGGTAGCTGCTGAGGCCCAGAGACACGAGCACCCAGGAACGGTACGAGTGTGAGGAGAGACTAGAGGCCACCCCATCTGGCGCCCAGCCCCGGAGTCCTTCCCGGCATTCAAGGAATTGATCTCCACAATACTCACACTAAACCCCACCATACAGAGGCCTAGGTCAGAGCCTGTTCTATACCACTGGAGACAGTCATTTTTATGCCTCAGACAAGAATATAATAATAAAACTTGGTCTTTGTTTCAGTTCCTGGCACAGAACTTCAGAAACCCTCGGAATTTCCTGAGTCATAACAGTGTCTTGTTATTCAAGAGACACTCCCGTAGGGTGCACCTGAGTTTTCACTAATGACTTACAGTGAGTGCCTAGAGAGTTTCAAGGGCTGGCTACTCCAAAGAGATCAACCCTGTGATCAGAGGGCTGAAACTTTCAGCCTCATCCCCTGACCCGTGCCCTCACATCCCCACCGACGGAGGTGGCAGGGGCAGGCAGGGGGGGTGTGAACTAGAGATTGAGTTCAACTACGTGGCCAATGATTCGACGGATCATGCCTAGGTAATAAAACCTAGAGCTAGTTCAAGCCAGCAATGATGTGTAAAAAAAAAAAAAAAACAGAAAAAACACTGAAACAAGGAAGCTCAGAGAACCTCTCAGTTGAACCTACGATGGGAGGACGGCAAGCTCAGAGTCCAGGAGAGGGACAGCAGATCTGTCCCCTCTTGCCCCACCAAGACCTTGCCTCTGCATTGCTTCCATTTGTATCCTTTATAATAAAACAGGGATAGAAAGTATAGTGCTTTCCTGTATATGTGAATCATTCTAGGGAATTATGAAATCTGTGCGGCGGCGGGAGGCGGGGTGTTCATGGGAACCCCTGAATCTGCAGCTGGGGATGCAGAAGTGCAGCAGTTTGAGGACACATGAGACTCATGGCTGGCAGCTGAAACATGGGAAGCCTAAGCAGCATTGAGCCCTCACCGCATGGGGTCCGGGTAGTATGCAGCTCTGAGGAGCATCAGAACTGAAATGAACTGTGGGACCCACAGTCAGTGTCAGCACTGTTGTGGGAACACAGTAAGGCAGGGCTCAATGTTGGTTACCTGAGACTGGCTGAGCTAAGACAGGGGTCAGGAGGACAGGTGCAGAGGACAAGGGAGGAGGTGATAGGATAACTTCAGGCCACCCCTGGGATCTCTCACTGTCTCTACCAGGAACCTGTGCCTCCAAGCTGGAGTTCCTCATCTCCTCTAGGCCACATGTCTCCGTGGCCTTCTTACAGGGGAAATGTGAAAACGCTAACAGTGAGGGGCACAGGTCAGCTGATGAGCAGAGCCTCTTCCTAGAGCTTGGAAAGAAGAGCGCTTTCACAGGCAGGAGCAGGTTTTGCCCATGTGTGGGCCTGCCTCTGGCCTGAGGAGGGCACCAGGAGTTTGACGGCGGGCGTAGGTGTGGCACAGTGGGCAGAGCCAAGCCCAGGTACTCACCTTTGGGGACAACACTTTGATCAGTTCGTTCAGGAAACGAAATTTGGCCACCTCACTGTGGAACTTCTCCCCACAGTGGTTCATGCACATCTCCAGCACCTGCATAGACACAGGACCCCCGTGAGAAGGTGGAAAGCCAGTGGTCCCAGGCTCCCCTCCAGACTGGTAACCACTTGCTGGAGACTGTGCTGGAACCACGGCAAACCCTGCCTCAAGCCTATGAGGACACTGAAGTTGTGATGAAGAGGACTTTTTCAGATCAAGAAAAAAATGCCCCCTGTTCAATCTTGCTACAACTGCCTCAGGTTTATGCCCAGGAAAGAGCTTAGTGGTGTATGTCAAACCCTGAGGTCACTCCACCTTTAAGGAGACCCTTTGAGAGGTGAAAGTGGCTCAAGAACCAACTCCTCCCCAGAGGCAGAAATCTGGTATCCAGTGCCCAAGACCAGCCAGATATCACCCACTGGCACTCAAGAGGCAAGCTGGGCCTGCAGACCCCTCCTCTGGTCCATACTACGGCTTTCAACACTGCAAATTAGTCACCAACATCTAAACTCTCAAACATATACAAAGACCTAAACTAGCAATCCTGAGCCCATACTCATACCTGCCAACAGTCAGTGGGCCCTGTGCTAGAGCTGCGCTCTTTAGACAGGGCACATGAACTTGCCAGCCCTGGTCTAAGAAGGGCAAATGAAATAAAACCTTCCTTTCCTTCTCCCACAGTAGACTCAATGTTGTCCTGAAGAAACAGATGAGAAAGAGAAGAAGGGTGGGGACCCTGGCCCAGAACTCCCTCCTCCAACCTGCTGTGAAGGTGAACCTCTCAGAGGAGCTCCCGGCCCCAATGGAAAGGATCTGGGTGGAAGCAAAGTGCTTTTCAGCTCTCTATAGGACAAGGACAGGAAAGCTTAGGCTACAAGGCAAGCCAAACTCACCGTTAAGGCATAAAGAGCTTCCTTCTCTTGCGGAGACTGGATCTTGTGGGCCAGTAGCCAGGGCGCATGTGTGGGGCTATAGGGAAACAAAAAGACCTAGACTCTGGGCAGGCAAGAAGAAACTAACCCAAGTGGCTGAGCATGCTCAGTAAAGTCACTTTTCTTCCAGGGGCTGCTGTCCAAAAGCAGAGGTGGAGTGTGCCTGACAAAGAGCCCTCGCGGGGGCCCTGGAGACGGCCACCTCCCACCCACCCTGGTTGCACCTACAGCACACAAGTTCCTCCTCCTGCCCAGGGCATACTGCCCTCCCCTCAGCCAACCCCCAGCCCCCAAACTCCAAGCTTCCAGTCCCAGCCCAGTCCCATGCATAGCCAGAGCAGCACAGGCCCTGTATGGCTGTGATAAATGCCCAGGAAATGCTAGAGCAGAAAGTGCGATCAAACTCTGGGTTCAAACTGGCCAAATATGTGACACCACACAGATTAAACATCTGGATGGGCCAGGCACAGTGGCTCACACCTGTAATTCCAGCACTTTGGGAGGCCAGGGCAGTTGGATCACCTGAGGTCAGGAGTTTGAGACCAGCCTGGCAAAAATGGTGAAACTCCATCTCCACTAAAAAAATACAAAAATTAGCCAGGTGTGGTGGCACGTGCCTGTAATCCTAGCTACTTAGGAGGCTGATGCAGGAGAATCGCTTCAACCCAGGAGGTGGAGGTTGTAGTGAGCTGAGATCGCGCCATTGCACTCCAGCCTGGGTGACAGAGTGAGACTCTGTCTCAAGAAAAGAAAAAAAGAAAAGAAAAGAAAACAAAACAAAACAAAACAAAAACAAAACATCTGGATGACTCACTTGATTCTGAGTCTTCAGGTCCTATCCAGATGCTGTGGAAACAGAATTCAGTAAAACCTTCCCCCTTTCCTTTTTCTTAAGATTACATTTAAATGGTGGAGAACACACCGATCTCTTAATTAGGTAACGTGTCTATATTGTATCAGTAACGTTCAGAGTTCTCCTCAGCATTAGTGTTTTATAACACTATTTAAAATTAATAACTGCTAGTTGCAAATGAGCTATCCTGTTTTTTTTTTCCCCCACATGAATTTGCTAATTTTAGAAAAATAACATTCTCAGGATTATGGGGGGAAATGACAGCATGAATGCCGGCCTGACTGTATTTCTATTTTTTTGAGACAGGGTCTCGTTCTGTCACCCAGGCTGGTCTCAAACTCCTGGGCTCAAGCGATCCTCCCGCCTTGGTCTCCCAAAGTGCTGGGATTACAGGCATGAGCCACCAAGCCTTGCCTAGAGAGCTTAACCCTAAAACAGTCTTGAGAGACAAAGGCCTACACTCAGTGTGGGGTGCCCCCAGAGTCAACTATGTGTAAGTCACCTTACCCATTGGGGTCAGTGTTCACCTGCTCACAGAAATTCTGGATAGCTGACCAATCCTGCTCCGACATGCTTGGGTCTGTGGCTTTGTCTGTCAAATAAATAATAAAGTTAGAATATGCATAAGAAGAAGAAATTTACACCCCTCCCCATACACATGGTGGCCAAGGGCTGTCTTATCACGGATCTACAGGATCAGACCAGTGGGCAGACAGCTGGAAGGAGAGGAATTGTGCCTACGCTGCCCACCACCATCCAGCACAGTATTGGGCACATGGTATACCCTTACTGAATATTTGCTAATTGAATGAACCAGCAAATTAAAGAACAGCTGGCTGGCCGTAGTGGCTCATGCGTGTAATCCCTGCATTTTGGGAGGCTGTAGGCGGATCATTTGAGGTCAGGAGTTTGAGACTAGCCTGACCAACATGATGAAACCCCATCTCTGCTAAAAATACAAAAAAATTAGCCGGCGTGGTGAGGCATGCCTGTAATCCCAGCTATTTGGGAAGCTGAGGCAGGAGAATCACTTGAACTTGGGAGGTAGAGGTTGCAGTGAGCCGAGATCGCACCACTGCACTCCAGCCTGGGAGACAGAGGCAGCCTGTCTCAAAAAAAAATTACCTGACAAGTTATTCCCCTGACAGTGGCTTCACTTTTAGTGTAGAGGTTGGCCCGGGTGTTGCCTTCACACCCGAGTTGGGATGCCCCCACCTGGCCTGCGACCAGCGGAGACAGAAGAGAGGCCACCTGGAAGCGTCTCAACTGTGTAACAGGAAGACAAGAACACGCCACCAGAAGGAATATAATCCTGCCCGTTCATAAAACTTCTAGTGGCAGCGCGGTGGCTCACACCTGTAATCCCAGCACTTCATGGGACTGAGGTGCATCACTTGAGCCCAGGAGTTTGAGACCAGCGTGGGCAACATGGGGAAATCACGTATCTACTAACATTTAAAAAAATTAAGACCAGGCACAACGGCGCACGCCTGTATTCCCAGCACTTTGGGAAGCCGAGGCAGGTAGATCACCTGAGTTCAGGAGTTTGAGACCAGCTTTGCCAACATGGTGAAACCCTGTGTCTACTAAAAATACAAAAATTAGCTGGGTGTGGTGGAGTGTTCCTGTAATCCCAGCTTCTTAGGTGGCTGAGGCAGGAAAATTGCTTGAACCCAGGAGGTGGAGGTTGCAGTGAGCTGAGATGGCACCACTGCACTCAGCATGGGCAACAGAGCGAGACTCTATCTCAGAAAAAAAAAAAAAGAATTAGCTGGGCGTGGTGGCATGTGACTGCAGTCACAGCTACTCAGGAAGCTGAAGTGGAAAGACTGCGTGAGCCTGGGAGGTTGAGGCTGCAGTGAGCCGAGATCAGGCCACTGCACTCCAACCTGGGCGGCAGAGCAAGGCCCTGTCTCAAAAACAAAAAAACAAAACAACAACCCTTCCAATTCCCCTCTGGCCATCCAGTCCTGGCCTGACCAGCTGCTCCGATGAGAAACCGTACTAGTTCTGACAGAGCAGCTCTTTTAGGCTCTGGAAATGAGGTGTTGCTTCTCGGGGCAGTACTTCTGATACCATTATTCTCCTGGCCGGAGTGTCTGCTCTGTGCCTCTCAGTGCCCTATCCATATTCTTCCAGACCCGTCTGAACTTCCAGCTCCTGCAGAAAACTCCCTCCCGCTACAACAGCCCCACTGCTTCTCCCTCTGATTACTCAACACAGCCCAGAGTTGAACTTTTCCTGACTGCAGTCACATTTATGTCACGTGGAAGTCGTGTATCCAGACAGCGAGAGTCATCGGACAGGTAATTACCATCTTCCTGCCCACTGACTCCATTCTAAGTGAAGAGAGAACACAAGGGCGAGGGAAGGATCAGTGATTCCTATATTCTCCTCCCCACTCCCCCAAAGCTCTCTCCCTATGTTCTATATCTTAAAATCCTATCTACCCTTGAGTCCCAATTCACATTCCACCCTAAAGACTTCTCTGATCTTTTTATCTCCCGTCCCCATAAAACAAAAGCTGTCTCCCCCTCCTCTGAACAGATATTTTATCTGCCCCTTCTCCGATAGGGATTTCCAGTTACACCCCTTATTAGTCACAGGTACTTGGACTCTCTGAGCCTCAGTTCCTCAAATATAAAATAAAATAGGGGTAGGCGCTGGAGCTCATGCCTGTGATCCCAGCACTCTGGGAAGCCAAGAGAGGAGGACTGCTTGAGTCTAGAAGGTCAAGACCAGCCAGAGCAACATAACGAGACCCAATCTCCACAGAAATTTTTTAAAAAAATTAGACAGCTGGGCACAGTGGCTCACGCCTTAATCCTAGCACTGTGGGAGGCCGAGGAGGGCGGATTGCCTGAACTCAGGACTTGGAGATCAGTCTGGGCAACACGGTGAAACCCTGTCTCAACCAAAATACAAATAATTAGCTGGGCATGGTGGCATGCATCAGTAGTCCCAGCTACTCAGTAGGGTTAGGCAGGAGAATCGCTTGAACCCGGGAGGCGGAGGTTGCAGTGAGCTAAGATCACGACACTGCACTCTAGCCTGGGCGACAGGGTGAGACTCCGTCTCCAAAAAAACAAACAAACAAAAAAGGCCAGGCATGGTGGCACTCACCTGCAGTCCCAGCTACTCAGGAGGATCACTTGAGCCCAGGAGGTCGAGGCTGCAGTGACCTATGATTGTGCCACTGCACTCCAGCCTGGGAGGACAAAATGAGACCCTGTCTCAAAAATAATAATAAAAACAGTCTGGGCACAGTGTCTCATGCCTGTAATCCCAGAACTTTGGGAGGCTAAGGTAGGAGGATTGCCTGAGCCCAGGAGTTCGTGACAAACCTGGGCAACATAGTGAGGCCCCATCTCTCCAAATGAAAAAATAAAATAGGGAAAATAGTACCTTCCTCATGGGACTGTCATATGATTTAAAGGAGAAGGTGTCTAAAATGCTTAGTACAGCACCATGCAGTTAAGAGGTCTATAAAAGATAATTGTTCATTATTATGTACAGTCTCTGGATTTTACTGTAATATGTACACATGCTTTGTCCTACCTAAAGAGAATGAAACCTTGAGGGCAGAAACCATATCTTCCTTACAGTGCCTTACCCATAGGTACAAAATAGAAACTCATCAAATAAATTATTTAAAGCAGTGATTCTCAGCGATTATGTCTGAATCACCTAAAGTCTATACCATTTAAGCTTCTGTTTCAGTTCACTACAAGGTCAAAGTTGACACTTCAAAAGAATTCTGATCTCGTATGTGACTGGACCTGGAGGGAGAGAACAGGAGAGGCAGGGAGAGCACAGGGGGAGGCAGGGAGAGCACAGGGGGAGGCAGGGAGAGAACGGGAGAAGCAGAGAACAGGAGGCATGGCCCAAACTCCCCTCACAGAATCCAGCCTTCTCCCTCCTCCCTGGCTGCCAAGTAAAAGAGACACAGCACTGATGGGCACCAGATTTTTCTTTTTTTTTTAATATGGAGTCTCGCTCTGTCACTTGGGCTGGTGTGCAGTGGCACGATGTTGGCTCCCTGCAACCTCCGCCTCCCGGGTTCAAGTGATTCTCCTGCCTCAGCCTCCCAAGTAGCTAGGATTACAAGTGCCCACCACCACACCTGGCTAATTTTTTGTATTTTTAGTAGAGACGTGGTTTCACTATATTGGCCAGGCTAGTCTCGAACTACTGACCTCGTGATCTGCCCGCCTCGGCCTCCCAAAGTGCTGGGATTACAGGCGTGAGCCACGGCGCCCAGACGACACCAGCTTTCTTAAAGAAAGAAAAAAATCTCTGAGGTTAAATTACGTTCCAAACCCTTAACCAAGGCCAAACAGCAAAATAATTTACAAAACGTAAGGAGGTTTCTTTCTTATTTGCTAGAACTTGTATCATGAGGACTCAATCAAGATTTATCAGTAACCCCAGCACTTTGGAGAGGCCGAGGCAGGCGGATCACCTGAGTAGGGACAGGGTTTCACCATGTTAGCCAGGATAGTCTTGATCTCCTGAACTTGTGATCCACCTGCCTTAGCCTCCCAAAGTGTTAGGATTACAGATGTGAGCCACCCTGCCTGGCTTGGTTTTCTTTTACATAAGCCTCTTCATTTGCTGAAACCGTAAGATGTTCCTCACATTGGAAAAACCTGAAAGCTCCCAGCAGCCAGCAACTGAATGAAAGGTAGGGGCAGGGCCACCGGCAGGGCGGAACCTGGTGAGCCACGTGCCTAGGCTCCCACATCACAATGGGGGCGAGGGCGCGTGGAGGGGACTCTGGGCCTGATAGGTTCCTGGGAACCAGGAGGGAGCTCTGGTGGTTGGCAGGGCAACCTCCTTCAGTTGGTGGGAAGCAGTGGCAGGAGGAGCTCCCTGTGTGCTCTCTTCTCCGCAATCACAGCTCTCAGGCTTGCTGCATCTAGACCCATTCTAAAGAAACCAAACAGGTTCCCAAGGGACCCTTGTAGACAAGTCAGCTCGGGGAGGCGGCTGAGGGGGGTTGTGCGCTGCTGGTGGAGTGCAGCCCCATAGCCAGGGGCTAGCCCTGCTAGCATGCCTTTGCTGGGAAGAGGTGGAAGTGCTGAGCTCTGCAGACTTGGAAGCAAGGGAAGGCCCAAGTTGCAGGAGAGGAGAGGAGCCAGGAGCCGAGCTGCCTCATGGGGAACACGCTGAGCTGTTGCTTGTGTGCCAACGCCAGCCCCAGGCAGGGTCTGCCCAGGGGATCTGCGGAGCTGTACTGCGGCTCTGACATCTACGAGGCGGTGGCAAGCAGAGGTGCAGGCCAAGGCAGAGAGGAGCAGAGGTGCAGTAGATGAAACATGCTGTTTCCCAATGCTAGCCCCAAGCGGGGCCAGCACAGGGGGTCTGGGGAGCTGTCCTGCAGTGCTGACATCTATGAGGCAGCGTCAAGCAAAGCTGCAGGCCAAGGCAGAGAGGAGCAGAGGTGCAACAGATGGAACATGCTGCTCCCCAATGCCAGCCCCAAGCAAAGCCAGTGCAGGGTGCGGTGGGCGGAACCGCCCTGCAGCTATAACATCATGGAGGCGGAGGTGGCAGTAGTGCCACACCCCACTGCTGTGGAGCCTGCCTAGCCGGATTTAGGAGCCCGTGAGGGCCATGATCTGCAGCACATCAGCGACCAGGAGATGCTCAAATATTTTGCTTCTGACCATCCAAGGGAAAGCACACTCTTTTTGAGAAAATATCAAATGAGTGTGCAAGAAAAGAGGAGGAGCTCTCACCTATATTATATACCTCCATGGCATCTTGATAGAAAATACAGCTCTTGTTCCACCATACTGCTAGATAACAGCACAGTCAGCCAGCCTGATCTTAGACACACATTAGAAAGTGTGACTTTGGCAATATATTACAACACAAAGCACAGATACGCAAATAGATCTGTGGCTATTTTTGACAAGCCAATATATCTACTTTCACAAGAGAAGGTTCCAGGCAAATCCTTCGAGCATGATCCCAAACGCAACTGTACTTTCAGATATTTCTGTACTCTTTCAAGTCATAAAACTAACAGCTCCATGTGCAGTCGTTGCTTTGGTGTACATCCAATGATTTTTAACTAATGCTAACATCGATCTTTGTCCTACTAATTGGAAAAAGATTGTCCTCGGAGCCAAGCTTCTTGCCTCCAAGGTTTGGAGAACTCGTGGTCTGTGGAGTGTGGATGACAGCCAGAATCCCAAGGACATGGCAGTTGAGAACATGAGCAAGATGGAGAAGTGTTTTTTGGAGCCACTTGAGTTTAATATTCATGTGTCTGCCAGTGTTTATACAAAATATTACTTCGACCTGCATGCCTTGGCAAATGACCGTGACCTGTATTTTCTATTTAGTTTTCTTCACAAAGATAAAGCACAGGAACTGGAGGCTGTGTCACCACCGCCATGTGAATACAAAGACTTGCATCGACATGCCGCTGCTATGACAAGGGCTATCAGCATGAATTTCATTGGTATTCGGTGCACTAATGCCATCTTAAAGAGAGAAATTAACGTTATAAAATCCTGAGCTTCTCAACTGTAAAGACTAGAAAATATCACTTCTGCTGAGAGAAACAACAAAATTAGGCTTTTCTTTTTTTCTTTTTTTGTTGTTGTTGTTTAGATTTTCATCGAGAGGAAACATCTTCACGTTAGCCATATTGTGAAACTGGGTGACAGTGGTATGAACAGTGGGTGCCAGGTGCTTTCTGCCCTTCTTGTTCCACTGGGTCCAGATGGCATTCCTAGGGCACCACCTTTTTGAACTGTTGGGGAGAAGGAGTGTCACATGGACACAGCACATCCCTGCTCAGAGCCCACAGTCACCCACAGTCTCAAGCAAGTACCAGTGGTGTCCACAGTCCCTAGCTGGTGACAGTGGTCTGAGCTGAGCTGGAGTCCAAAAAACTTTAATTGGCTCCAGATTTGTGAGAGCACCTGCGTTTGGTTCTCTGTCCACTGAAGCACTGAATGCATGATGGCCCAAAACTCAACAATGGTGGGAAAAGAGTGGCATCGGGGCACGGCTGTCACTACTCCAAGCACCAGGGTGGCTCAGGCCTGCTCATCTAGTCTTTGGAGGGTATCTGTGCATGTGAAATGAGGCCCCCATATCATGGTTATAAAGGAAGAGATGAAATCAGCTCATCTTCCCCCAGGCCGATAAGAGATGAAATCAGCTCATCTTCCCCCAAGCTGATAATGGTCACGTCACCTAGGGAAGCAGTAAAAGACCTGACCTTGGGATTGTTAGGGGAGCTATGGAAGTGAAAACTGAATTTACCCAGTTCCAGGAAAACAACAAAGGAGGAATATCTGGGTTCAAAACTTTATGAAAAGATCATTTTCCCAGCGAATCTTGCCGTGGTGCATTGTATGGTCTCAGCACTTGTCAACAAAACAAAAGCCTCATAATAATTCTAACACAGGGACACACTGTGACTCACATTTTCCAGTGCACCTCAGTGGTTCAAGAGATTGCTGGTGCTGCCTGCATCTGTCAGTCTGTTCACATATGGAGAGGAGCAGCGGTTCTCACGGGAGCAGCTTCTGCATCCTGAGGAAGTTTGCCCAGATATTTCTGGTTTTAATAACTGGTGGCACCCACTGACATGCAGTCAACAATGGGAATCCTATGGTGCACAAGACTGCCCCCCTTCTCAATCAAGAATTTTCTGGCTTCCAAAATAGAAACTGCTGAGGATCAACTGCCCCAGAGTCTACAAGGGCAACATTTTCTGAGACTTTTTTTCTTACAAGAACACCAGATCCCCAGCAATGTGAGATGTTAGATTAAGTTTTTGTGCAAGGATGGATGTGGGCGACAGAATCCTAAGACACCCCATGATCTCTGCTATCTTTTGTTATACCCTGAATCCTCATCTTCCCTTGGATATGGCCAGACCTGTGCCTTGTTCTAGACATCTGAATATGGCAAAGTGAGGGAGTGGCTCTCTAGGAGTTACCTTTCCTTTCCTTTTATCGGGAACAATAGTAACTCCTATTTTCTTTCTTGAGTTTCCTTTCACAATACAGTGGTTTGGAATATCCCACTGTTGATTTGCAATTTCCTCCTCCAACCATAGTCGATGGCCCTTTATACGTAATTAAATATTTTCATGTATTGATTTTTTGTGTCTGAAGATGAAATGTTGGATGAACCATGTCAAAACATTTCATGCAAAGCCTTCAGTGGTTGTAGAGTCTACTCTTTGGTGAATACATAATTTGATCTATTTTACATATTGAAAATTGTATTAGTTGTAATAATGGTATTTTCTTTTTTATCTTTACTTGTCAGATATAGTTACTTTTTCCCAAAATTAATGATATTGTATATTTGATTTAAAATACTTCTAGAATATTTGGATAGTTGAAAATAAATGGCAAAATAAAGAGTTGCTGAAACCTAGTGATAATGTACTTATGATGGGTTATTATCCCTATCACTGTTAAATGTTTAAATTTCCATGAAAACCTATACATAAAAACTTAAAATTTTGTGTAAAAGCCTTCGTGCCCTGCACTTTAGCCCCACTGCATAATGAATAAAAGGAAAACGGATTCTCCTGCGGCGGGGAAGAAAACAAAAAGATTTATCATGGCTCAAAAGTCACGGTGTTCATTGTCATTTTAAAAAGTACATACTATGAGGCCAGGCACGGTGGCTCATGCCTGTAATCCCAGCATTTTGGGAGGCCGAGGTGGGCAGATCACCTGAGGTCGGGAGTTCAAGACCAGCCTGACCAACATGGACAAACCCCATCTCTACTAAAAATACAAAATTAGCCAGGCGTAGTGCTGTGTGCCTGTTGTCCCAGCTACTTGGGAGGCTGAAGCAGAACTGCTTGAACCCAGGAAGCGGAGGTTGTGGTGAGCTGAGATCATGCCATTGCACTCTAGCCTGGGCAACAAGAACAAAACTCTGTATCAAAAAAAAAAAAAAGAAACAGAAAAAAAGAAAAAGTACCGACTATGAGCCACGTACCATGCCAGATGACCTCAGAACCCAGGGTGGCACAAACATCTACACCATTTTACAGATGAAGAAACCTACCCAGCCACAAAGCAAGGGAATGGCAGAAACAAAAATTCAGTTGCAGGCTGGCCCAGCTCCACAGCCTGGACGTGTTTCTAACCACTCTCGCGGTGAAGTCTTCAGTTCCTTGACAAAGTTAGGGCCTCTCTTGGAAGCCAGCTTGATCTTCGCGCTCATAAACTCCTTGAAGGCAAAAAGGAGGCCTGTCTCATTCACTCTCACAGGCTCCAGCACCTAGAAGAGTTGCTGGCAGGTACCTACTGAATAGATGATTCCTCTTTTGCTAGACAGTGTTTGGCCAGCTGGCTGGACATACTGGTATCACGGGGAGATGGCTATCTCAGTCTGAAATAACTGGGCCCCTAAACACATAATCCCAGCCTGCACAAACTATTTCAGAGGACTTGCGCAGATCCAAAAAATGACCCCCAGGGGGCCAGCAGCTGGGTCTGACCAGGCCACAGCAACCCCCGCAGGTCAGTTTGATACCAATCTGCTCCAAGGACTAGCTAGGGGCCAGACAGGGCATGGCCAGGGAGAAATTCAAAGGATGCCTTCTCTGTTTTGGGCTATCCCAGACTCCAAGGTGGTTTATTTATAGCTGGCACTTGAGGAGGACAGAGGGGTGCTGAGAAATAACACTGCTGCCATGTATTTCTTCACTAAAAGCAGTGTTTGTATGATTCATTTCAAGCGTGCTACAGGGCCAGAGGTGTTAAGAAAACAGCTGAGACCTCCAGCTGTGAGTGAAATGGCTCATCCAAGATTGACTAATTCAGAAGCCAAACCATCCCACGTCAGCTGCCAACCAACCACCGGGGTCATGACTCTGGCACCAGCAGCCGCCTGTGCTAGCAAGGGGAGCCCCAACGCTATAGGGAAGCGATCACCCCAAGGAGCAGAATGCAATCCTTCAGCAGTCCACGCTGCAGGGGGACTCCTTCCCCAGGAGGAACATGTGGACCCCAAGAGTCCGGCAATCATCCAATTCAGCACATGTGAAAACCTCCAAGACCCAGCATGGGAATGTCCTATACATCATTCCAAGTGGAAGGAAGAAACAGATTTACTGAGCACCCAACTTTTACTAAGCCATGGCCTCCCTGGCAGCACTACCAGAGCTAGAATCCCAGAGTCCAAGAGGAGTCCTGTTTTTAATAGCACAAGGCTAGCAACACCTAAGATGTCCACCAACAGGGACCCGGTTAAAGGAATCCTAGGACACCCATACAACAGGGCATCTAAGGCTTTTCATTTAAAAGAACAAGGTGACTACATCTGCAGTCATGTGGAACAATGACCAAAATACATGAAGTGGAAAAAAAGGCTGCAGAACCGAATGACAGAATGCACGGGCGCTGCCGTTTGTATTTTTAAGACATGAGATTCTGGTAACAGCTTCCTGATATTCCTCTGGGAACAACCCCTCTCCTCAATTCTAGGTCCCCCATTCACCTTCCCCACCCTTGGCCCTGGGTTGGGTACTGCACCCCACCCCAGGTCTGGCCATCTTCATATTTCATGACCCCAGGTCATGCTGACTCCAAGGTGGACACAAAACCCAAGCCGACAGGCAGAAGAGCAATAACCCTTGCAAATCAATGGAGAAAAGAAATGAATTCTGCTGGGATTGCAGTACAGACAAGAGCAAAGCAGAGAAAATTCAAAGAAGTGAACCATGACTTCTTTGTCATTGCCTCCTAAAGAAGTGAGCTCCTGGACTAAGCCCACCCCTACTCTGGGACTTTCTTTACTTTCCTTTTTTTGGTAAGTGAGTATGGGTATGAGTTAGTTTCGATTACTTGCAGCTATAAAAGCCTAATGATAATAATAGCTGGCTCTTCTTGAGCACTTACTACAAGCATAGTAAGGCACTATTTTAAGTGCTTTCCGTGTACCAAAGTCTTTGATTCTTTCAACAACCCTAAGGACAGGTTTTATTACTCTTTTCCCATCTTAAAGATACAGCTGCCTTGTTTGCAGGGACCTGAGCTTGGCCAGGGACCTGAGCTTGACCATTCCTCAAACACCTGGTGACTTCATCCAGCTCAGACGCATGCGCATTTGCCTTCAACTACACCCACATCTTGGCCATACCATCAATCCCACGACCCCCTTATCCCTCCATTGCAGCACCAATGCCCCACCATCCCCAACAAATCTGGCTTAACCCATCGTTCACTTCTTCTCTGCTCCTATTCCCAGAAGAAAAACAACAACAACAAATACAGCCATGAAGACTGCAACCCACATTCCTGATGTCCAGTCAGCACTCCACAGTCCTAACACAGGATCTCAGCAGGGAGATGGGTAGGAGTGATCCCATCCCACTCAATCCTGGGGAAACGTGGCAGTATCTGGTGACATTTTTGGCTGTCATGACTGGGAGGAAGGGTGTGAGCTTTGGTATCCAGTGGGTTTAGGCCAGGGATGCCACTAAACATCCTATAGTGCACAGGTCAGCCCCCACAACACAGAATTATTGAGACCAAGATGTCACTCATGCAAAGGTTGAGAAACCCAGCTCTCTGTCCGGGTGGGCCCCCTTCGGTTTGCCTCACCAGCCACTCCCCCACGCTTCCCCACCTTCCTCAAGTCCCCTGTTCCACTTGAGCACCTAATACTCGGGTGGTGATAGTGGCACGGACAAACTTGTTTGCATGTGCAGTCATCTTGATTTCCTTCCCCAGACAGTTGGAAAAACAAAAGGTGCCCTTCCTCTCTGTAAGGCCAGGTCCCCCCTTTTTGCTCTGGCTCTGAGCACCTTCAGGCCCCTCTGCAATGTATGGGACACTGGACCCAGAATTGGGGAGGGGCAGTTCCCCAAAGGAACATCAACATGAAGGGGGGCTCACATGTCCCCCTCTCCTTCTAAAACAATCTCCTTTACTCCTAAATTCCCTCTTGCTACCCTTTCTCCCTCCTTCTACATTCAAGCCTCATGAAAAACGGCTGAGGAGGCCACTGGCTGCACCCTCCCCACACATTTATTCTGCCTGGCCTTCCCCAAATTATGGCCCAAAGTCGGTGCCAACTTCTGAAAACCCAAGAGATTTCACTTAAGAATATAGGTTTCTAGTCGTTCCTGAAAAACAGGAAGATCTAGCAACTTTGGGACATTGCCCCCAAAAGCTGGAGCTTAATACAATGTATACGCCATGAAAAAAACCATAATAATAAAAAATAAATTAGGCCGGGCACGGTGGCTCACGCCTGTAATCCCAGCACTTTGGGAGGCCAAGACTGGCAGATAACTTGAGGTCAGGAGTTTGAGACCAGCCTGGCCAACATGGTAAAACGCCATCTCTACCAAAAAATATTAAAATTAGCCTGGGCTGGGCGCAGTGGCTCATGCCTGTAACCCCAGCACTTTGGGAGGTCAAGGCAGGCGGATCACCTGAGGTCAGGAGTTCGAGACCAGCCTGACAAACATGGTGAAACCCCATCACTACTAAAAATACAAAAATTAGCCGGATGTAGTGGCTAACACCTGTAATCTCAGCTATTTGGGAGGCTGAGGCAGGAGAATTGCTTGTTGAACCTGGGAGGTGGACGTTGCAGTAAGCCAAGATCATGCCATTGTACCCCAGTCTGGACAGGTACGAAACTCCATCACACACACACATACATACACACACACACACACACACACACACAAGCCCGTTGTGGTGGCGTGTGCCTGTAATCCCAGCTACTCGGGAGGCTGAGGCAGGAGAATTGCTTGAACCCAGGAGGCGGAGGTTGCAATGAGCCAAAATGGCACTACTGCACTCCAGCCTGGGCAACACAGCGAGACTCCATCTCAATAAATAAATAAATAAATAAATAAAAATTTTAAAAAAAGCTAGAACTGGGGAGGCTGATGTGGAAAAAATGCTTGAACCCAGGAGGGGTAAGCTGCAGTGAGCTGAGATCGTGCCACTGCACTCCAGCCTGGGTAACAGAGTGAGACTCTGTTTCAAAAAAAGCTGGAGTTGAAGAACCGTGTCCTTGGGCAGTTCCAAGCCCAAGCCCTCCTTTTATCTCCTCCACCTGAGGCAGCTACTTTCTCTTACTTCGGCTACATTTTTTTTTTTTTTGAGACAGACTCGCTTTATTGCCCAGGGTGGAGTCCGTGGTGCAATCTCGGCTCCACTTCCACAACCTCTGCCTCAAGGGTTCAAGCGATCCTCCCACCTCAGCCTCCCAATTAGCTGGAATTACAGGTGTGTGCAACCACACATGACTATTTTTTGTGTTTTAGTAGAGATGGGGTTTTACCCTGTTGCCCAGGCCGGTCTTAAACTCCTGGCCTCAAAGGATCGCGCCACCTCGGCCTCCCAAAGTGCTGGGATTACAGGCATGACCAGTCCTTTTTTTTTTTCCTGCAACTCCAGTCTAAGCCTTCTGTTCTCCATTGCCTCCTAAAACTACTACCTTCTGTCTACTGTTTAACTCAAGGACGTCTCCTTAAATAACTGGCTGGTTACCAAATTCAAAGTTCCCTGTTCTCCTTCCTCATTCTACCCCATTTTTAAGTAGCAAAATTACCTTACAACCACATCCCTCCTTTGCTATCAGTGGGTGCCCCTGCAGGTCTCCCCCTGCCTGTTTCTGCTCAGCCTTCAGTCTTCTCTTCCCATCTGCCTCTTCAATGCTGGGGCTCCCCACGCTCTCTCTCCAAACCTCTGCTCTTAATATACACAAGCTTCTCCCGCAAGCTGACTGCCAATGAACCAGACTCCCAAACCGTACATCCCACACTCGCCCTCTCCGGTGCCAACCAGCTGCCTAGAGGGCATCTCTTTTTTGACTATGCCACAAGCACCTCAAACTCCACATCTCAACCTTCTCTGTCTGAACCAGCTCCTCCTCACAGGGGAGACATCTGTAACCCACCAGTTCCTCGAGCCTGAAATCTGCGATCTAGCCTAGATTTCTCCTTGTCCCCTGTCTCCATTCCAAGGCACCGAGGCTGCTGACTGCGCCTGCTCATTACTTCTCCCTCTCCCCACTGCCTTAGTTCTCCTGCGACCCTCAACCACCACCAAAGAGCTCTTTAGCTGCTCTCCCTGCCTTAAGTCTCACCCTCTCCGCCCAACTTAGCACCATATGGCTGCAAGTGACGCCTTTAACAGGTTTCCTTGATCAGATTCTCTGGCTGAAAACTCCCAAACAGCTCCCCCGCCCTCGGAAAAAACAAACTCCTTTCTGCAGCGCACAAGGCTCATGAAGATCTCGCCCCAATTAGCCGTGCAGCCTTTCCCGGATTCCTGCGCTTTAGGCTTGCACTCCAGCGGACTGACCTACTTGTTCCCGAAGTGCTCCACATTCTCTTGTCCCCAGCTTTTGCACGTGCAGTTTCTTCTGCCTGGAATGCGGTCGGCTGTGACGACCCCCAGGTAAACCAACTTCTACCACAACAGGTGAAACGAACGCCCTCCTCCTCCTCGCCAATCCCGTTAGTAAGGTGATGGGACTGCCGGCCTGTACCCACTAAAAAGTGTTTTTGTGAGCAAGGACCCTGTGTTATGCCTCTCAGTGTTCCCGGCACCTAGCAGGGCTGGGTACAAAGGGAATATTATTTATCCTCTTTATCCTCAATCCCTCATTGGTAAAACGGAGATAATAATAGCCCCTAAGATTACTGTGAAGCTTACAGGAGACATGCAGAAGAATTCCGGCCAAGGGATTTGAGCCTAACCAGGGTAACATAATGAGACCCCGTCTCTTAGAGGCGGGGGGGAAAAAAAAATATATATATATATATAAAAATATATATATATATGCATTTAAAAAAAAAAGTCTGGCCGAAGTAAACACAAGAGGTAAAAAAGCTCTTTTTGACGCGGTAGCCAGATAGAGATCTTTCTCAGCTCCAAAGAGACTGCGTGTCTTGCACGACTGCGTCTCCTTAAACCTCAACGTCCCCGCTTCCCTAGTGGGGTTAATAATAGAAGCCAGCTCGGGGTGGGAACGAGGATTAAGCAGGGCTGAGGCGCTGTGAGCACAGTGTCAGGCGCAGAGGAAAGCGCAGGTCACGTAGCCATTGGTATCGGGGTCGGGGTCCGGGTCCTGTTCTGCGGCTAAGGGACGGATGGGCGGAGGGGGAGGGGCAGAGCGCAGACGGGGGCCGCAGCCCCGGCGGATGGTTGGGGCTTCTCTCCGCGGACCTCTGGGCGATCCTCCCCACCGCGCAGGGCCCAGACCCCCTACCCGGCCGCCAGCCTCCCCTGCGGCCGCCCGCCCAGAAGCAAGGCCCCGGGAGGCGGGAAGCGAGGCCTCACGTGCGGCGCAGCGGCCGCGCCGAGGGCCTGCCAGGCTACTCACTGAGCCACAGCTCCAGCGCCGCTGCCGGGCCCGGGGGACCCTGGGCCGACTCGGTTCCCGCCACAGCCCCCGCCCCCGCCGCCACTGCAGTCGCCGCCATCGCCTCAGCCCCGACGCCGCGGCCGCGGGCGCCACCGCCTCCTTAGCTGCTGTAGCCGCCTGGCGCTCTACTCGGCTGACTGCGCGGCAGGCGCGGTGGGCACGTGACGGGGCGGAACCGCTGGTGCCACGCCCACTTCCCAGGCCCCGCCTCCACGCTGGGCGGGCCGGGATATTTCTCAGCCCAGATCCCTCTACCCAGCGCGGGTCTTCTGAGACCACTCACCATACGGTTGCTAGATAAAATACAGGACGCCCAGTTAAATTTGATTTTCAGAAGAACGTAAATAATTCTTTTAGCATTTTTATTTTTTAAGAGATGGGGTATTGCTCTGTCACTCAGGCTGGAGTCCAAAGGCGCGATCACGGCTCACTGTAGCCTCCACCTCCCCGGCTCAAGCGATCCTCCTGCCTCAGCCTCCTGAGGAGCTGGGACAACGGGCGGGTACCACCACGCCAGGCTAATTTGTGTGTTTTAGGTAGACACTGGGTTTCACCATGTTGCCCAGGGTCGTCTCAAACTCCTGGGCTACAAAAGATCCTCTTACCTTGACCTTCCAGTGCTTGCATTTTTTTTTTTTTTATTTTTTATGTTTTTCGAGATGGAGTCTCACTCTGTTGCCTAGGCTGGAGTGCAGTGGCGCCATCTTGGCTCACTGCAACCTCTGCTTCCCGGGTTCGAGCGATTCTCCTGCCTCAGCCTCCCAAGTAGCTGGGACTATTGGCGCGTGCCACCACGCCCAGCTAATTTTTTTGTATTTTTAGAGACGAAGGTTCACTATGTTGGCCAGGCTGGTCTTGAACTGACCTCATGATCTGCCCGCTTCGCCCTGCCAAAGTGCTGGGATTACAGGCGTGAGCCACTGCGCCCCGCCTATGTGCTTGCATTTTTATTCACAGAAGGGTTTTCCCGGAACACTTCTTTTTTTTGATGCAGTCTCGCTCTGTCGCCCAGGCTGGAGTGCAGTGGTGCTATCTCAGCTTACTGCAACCTCCGCCTCCCTGGTTTCTTGGAACACTTCTAAAATAACATGTCCTGCATTCCTCAACACTCTGCTTCATTTTCTGCATCACACAGTACACCATCGATATATTATTTACTTGTTTATTTTATTAAAAGATAATTTTCCCAAAAACGTATGTCATGATTCTCATAATTATGAAATGAACACATGTTAAACATTTTATTTAATTACGAGTGAACCAAGCAGATGTTATAATCAATCCAAAAGTGAAGTCAAAGAAGGGCAAATTTATCTGGAAAAAAAGGAATGTAAAATGAGTGTGCAAATGGACACAAAACTGGTTGTTCCATCGGCGTGAGAGCTGTCCCTCCAGTGGGCAGAATTAATTTACCTGTTTATAGGCAAGAATTATTTTGAGTTGCTATCAGGTGTCTACAACTTAACAGAGTTATATAAGACTTCTCAAAGACAAAGGCTGGAACCTGGAAGGTTGTGCTGTCTAGACAATGCATAATTTTCCATTGAAGCTGTTGTGCCGCACCCCTATTAACTTCAGTAGGGATGGCACCATGCTTGAGAGGCAGAAGAGACCCAGAGTCATTGAATGAGGCAGGTTTACTGAGGGGACTTATGGGGCAGTCTAGTGGTAGTGGGCTGGACAGGAGGACCACTACCATTTGTAAAAAGCATCAGTTTATATAGTATTTTCAAATGGCACCCTTCCCTTAGCAACCTCCATCTGGCAACCTCAATTTAACCCCAAACAAAGGGCCTTGATCCCCCGTA